TGGAGGAGAGGTTTTCAGAGTTCCTTGCTCTATCATTTTTTCTTGCTTGTTCGGATTAGTCTCTTATAAGTTCTATAGGTTGCATTTGGATGGTATATCTCTTAATTCTTTTTTTAATGTATAAATAACTCCTCCTCTTTTTTTTTCTTTGAAATTGATTTGTTGAGGAAAATGTTCATTTGTCCTATGGATTTTCCCATAGTCTATATTTTTCTCATTATATCCTGATGATGTGGTTTAGCATGTGCCTTTGTACCCTGCATTTCCTGTAAGTAGGTAGTTAGATCTAAAGGCTTGGTCATATTCAGATTTGTTTGTTTTGGAAAAAATATTTTAGATTTGGTGTTATGTACTTTATATTGCATCATATTAGGAGGCACATAATATATGGTTTTCTGTCTTTCTGTGATGCTGTAGCCACTGATAATCAATTTCTAAATGATGATATTTTATCAGTCCTTCATTTATGAGCTTGAATACTTCTATAAAGAGAAATTTTCCCTTATCAACTATTTAGTTCTCCTAAAGTACAATTTGTATAGAAAGGCATGGTAAGTGCATTATTCTTTTTTCTTTATTTCCCAGTTTTCAAAACAATGAGCTGGTTCCGAGCATCCTCAAAATGTAGCCAATGATTTTTTTTCAGGTGTTATTATGAATTTATGGATTTAAACATATTTCATGTGATTCACTCCATTGCAGTTATTATTCCTGTTTATGTTCAAATTGTCACATTTTTGCCCAGTTGGAGACTCTTCGTGTTGACTCTGGAGTCTTTTTGACATGACTGCAGTCGTTTTTGAGAGTTCTCTTGCTTTTGTTATGCCATGAGGTTCTAGGATTATCTTGTTCGTTTTCTGACCCGGACCTGGATGGAACCATTTCTGTAAGAAGCTCTGGTTCTTTTTAGCGGGAGACGGTATTTGCAGGCACAGTATGAGTGCAAGGATGTTCATTGCTACTGAGTTGGTTAATGTTTTTTGTATTTCCAGCAGACAGACCAGGTAATAGATAGATAGATAGATAATGTATATTAATATAATATATTAACATATATTTATATAATATATAACATTAAATATATAATTAAATATTAATTAAAATTCAGGACAGTAGTTTGTTTATTTAATGTCAGAATACTTTCTGAACTTTTTTTTGTAATAGTTTTTATCTTGAATTTTTAAGTAGTCGTATAACCTACAAGTAGTGGTATTTTTAATTTTTTCTCTTCAATATATATTCGTCTAAATTATTTTCTAATTACATTGACAAAGATAGGATCTCCAGAAGAGTGTGGAAAAAAATGGTTGTGATAATCCTTGTTTTGTTCCTAACTGTGGTGGGAGTAATTCCAGTGTTTCTCTAGTCTGTTCATGGCTTCTGATTCTTTATCAAATTATAAGGAATCTTATCATAACATGTGCTGAATTTAATCAGATACCTTTTTATATTTATTAAAATTATCATAAGGTTTAAAACTTTTTTTATCTGTTAGTATAACCAATTATATTAATGATTTTCCTAATGTTGACTCAATCATTCATTTTTAGAATATATTCTATTAAGTCATGATGTGTAATTCTCTTGATAGAGTTCTGGAATTAATTTGCTTCATTTTATTTATTTTTATACCCATAGTCATAATTAACATTTGGTTCATATATTTCTTTTTGTGCTCTCTGTGTTTGGTATGGGTATCTGGGTTATGTTAGCTGTATATCACTAACTGGCAACCTTCCAGTCTTCCTATTATCTGCAGCTTACCTGTTTGCTTAAGGTTTTGCAAAACTCATCCGGTAAAACTTTTTGGCCCTGGTCCTTTATTTTCTTTTTTCTTCATTTGTAGAAAATATTTTTAGCTTTTTAAAATTGTATTTGAAAAATAACTCATCAGTACATTTTTATTATAGAAAACTCAAAAAATCTGTAACTCTGTTCCTCTTCACTCACTCCTACCACTCTCGTTCCTACTCTCAGAGGTAACTACTGTCAACGGTTTGGTGAAAAGTCTTCAATGAATTTAAAAGATTAAAGACTTAAGATCCCACTCTGTTATTTACTAATATGCAATTGCACAGTACTGTGCATTTACATGTTACTGTGCATGTACAATCTCATTCTATGCATTTACACACGATATAATGTGATATAATACATGTATATAATTCTATAAATTATGTATACCTGAAAATGCAATACTTCTATAGTGGGTTTATGCCATATGCATTGTTTTTTTTATTGTGGTAAAATATACATACAACTTACAATTTTAACCATTTTTAAGTGTACAGTTCGGTAGCATTAAGTATGTTCACATTGTTGTGCAACCCTTACCATGATCTCTCTCCAGACCTTTTTCACCTTCCCAAACTGAAACTCTGTACCCATTAAACATTAACTCCTCATTCCCCACCTCCCCACAGCCCCTGGCAACCACCATTCTGCTTTGTCTCTATGAATTTAACTACTCTAGGTATCTCATATAAGTGGAATCATACTTATTTATCCTTTGGTAGCTGGCTTATTTCACCTAGTATAATGTCTTCACAGTTTATCCGTGTTATGTAGCATGTGTCAGAATTTCCTTCCTTTTAAGGCTGAATAATATTCCATTGTATGTATTTACCACGAGATATCTATCCACTCATCTGTGGATAGACACTTGGGTTGCTTCCACCTTTTAACTATTGTGAATAATGCTGCTGTGCACACGGGTATACAAATATCTGTTTGGATCCCTGATTTCAGTTCTTTTGAGTATATACCCAGGTATGGAATTGCTGAATCATGTGGTAATTCTATATTTAATATTTTGAGGAATTATTTTCCATAGTGGTTGAACATTTTATACCCCGCCAGCGGTCCACAAGGGTTCCACATTCTCCACATCCTGGCCAACACTTGTTACTTTCTGTGTTTGTGATAGTGGCCATCCTAATGTGTGAGGTGGTGTCTCATTGTGGTTTTGATTTTCATTTCCCTGTTGGTTAGTGATGTTGAGCGTGTCTTTATGTGCTTATTGGCCATTTGTATGTCCTTTTTGGAGAAATGTCTGTTGGAGTCCTTTGCTCATTTTTAAATTGGGTTTTTGCTGTTGTTGTTGTTGAGTTGTAGGAGTTCTTTATATATTCTGGATATTAACCCTTTATACAATATGTGATTTGCAAATATTTTCTCCCATTCTGTGGGTTGCCTTTTTACTGTTTTAATAGTGTCTTTTAATGCACAAAAGTTTAACTTGATGTACTCCAATTTATTTTTTTCATTTTTTGCCTGTGCTTTTGGTGTCCCATCCAAGAAATCACTGACTATATATATTGTTTTTTAACTTGATTTTTTTATTCATCAATATATATGTTGGCCTTCTTTCCACATCAAGTCATATAGCTTCTTATCATTACTTTTATCGGTTGTAGAGTATTCCTTAGTATGGATATACTGCTGTTTATTTACCCTCTCCCATAATAGGGTACATTTAGGTAGTGTTCATTGTTTCCCTTTACATGTATGTATATTAAGAACAAACAACAAAAAATCTGGAAAGCGTATTTATCGAAGTGTTAGAAGTGATGATCTCTGGGCAGTAGGATGGGAAATAGTTTTATTTTGCCTTTTTTGCCTGCATTATCTAATTTTCAATATCAACTATTTTTATTTAATAAAAACTAACAAACTAGTCAATAAATATAGTGACATCTTTTGATCAATTTCACCCCAGAGTTTATCCAAAAAAATTGTTCTCGATAGCTAAACAAATGAAAAACAACATCTGCTGGAAGTAATATATATCATTGATAATGTACTAGTATCATTTAATAATAGAAGTAATGTTCAAATAGGGGACTAGTGGGATAAAATTTCATATCCGAGTTTAGATGATTTTGTGATCATGAAAATTAATTTCAGAGTATGCAACAACATGAAAAAGACTTCCACAAGGACTGGGATTTCCCCTGGGTAATGTTGATGCAAATAATCCATAACCAATCTATAAATCAAAATTGGGGTGAGTTTATTATGAGCCAGATCTGAGGACTAGCCCGGGGCCTTCCTTCCTCAAGGAAGGAAGGGCACGAAAGAAGTGGGTTATATGCCATCAAAGAGCATGTATCATGTGTGATTGGAATGTCCCTTTTACAACAGTCACGAGATTGCCTAGCTGGCCCAGCGATTTACACGGCAATTGATGAACACAGCAGGTAGCAGGTCTGTGGTCTTGAGCTGGGTGGTCACAGCAGGTCAGCAATCAGTCCCTCCCTAGCCTAGAGAGAGAGAGATGCTTATCCTTAAGGAAATGCCAATGTGGGGGAAGTTACTTTATCTTAAGGGCATTTGTTCTTGTCTTTGGGACATAGCAAATGCTTAAAGCAGATATCCAATGCTTGCCCAACAGCCAGGCCAAGTCAGGTCCTTTTGGAAAAACAAGGTCAGGCCGAATTAGTTTTACACCAAATGGCTTCCTCATATGCTCCAATATATCCTATTGTTTGTCATTTATTTATCAGTAATTATCTAGGCCAGAGATGATCAAACTTTTTTCTGTGAAGGGCCAGATAGTAAATATATTAGGCTTTATGAGAGCCATATTGTTTCTTACAACTACTCAACTCTGCCTTTGTAGGGCAAAAGCAGACTTAAATGGATGGATGTGGCCAGATTTGGCCTGAAGGCCTAGTCTGTGGACCCCCTGCCCCACCCCCCACCTCCATCAAAGCACATGAATGAGGCCTGGGGAACGAAGGCAGTTGAGGTGGTAGGCCAGTGCATTTGTTTTAAACTTTCCTTTAATGTTATTTAAAAAGTTATTTAAATAAAATTATGTGAGTGGTATTAATATGCCTTATACATAGTAGGTGCTTTCCAAAGACTTCTTGACTATAAGATGGAAATGAAATATAGTTAAGAACACTTTGCAAATGTCCCCAGTTTTGATTGATTTGCTTATTTTATGGGCCTTTAGTGCACCTATTTTACTATATTTGTCTTGTGTTCTTTACTAGGGGAAGAAAATGTAATTGCTGTTCCTTTGGGAAGTCGAAGTGTGAGAATTACAGTGAAAGGACCTGCACATCTCTGTAAGTAGAATTCAATCTTAACATTTTTTTATTTCCTGAAAATTTATTTAACCAAAAAACATCTTTCTTTGTGTTAATCATCTCAAGGATTTTGCCCACCACTTTGAAGTGATCTCTATCAGTAGGGGAATGATCTATACCATGAATGTTTCTGTTCTCAGGCCCCATGGGGTAATATACCAGTTTGGGACTTATCCTCTTATGGGAGAGGAAATCAAGTAGTGTGTGAAATAAACTATTTTTATGTGGAGAGTAATCTAGGATTCAAGAGTCTTCTGGAGATTTCAGCAGTTTGATACAAAAAACAAAACAAAATAAAACAAAATTTAAAACACAGAACCCTATCAGTGAACATAGCTGACAAGTATAAGCTTTCTTGCCAGCACATCACACCTTCAGGTCTAGGGGGCCCTGAAAGAAAACTCTGGTTTCCCAGAATACTGAGAGTTTGAAACAATAGAGGATTACAATTGTATTGTTCCTTTGGCCAAAGTCGGATGGCATCCCCTGTTTTAGTTTTTCTGGTCTCCTAGGACCTAAAGAAACTGGAAATACCAAAGTTTGTCTCCTTCTCTCCCAAAGTCACCCCAAGGTGGCCACAGGCAGGACTTTCTTAATCTTTTTCAATAAAAAATGGATTTCTGCCAAGACTGGCCCCCTGGCCTTGAAGAAGCTTACTGTATTCAGCTCTTTCTTTCCATAAAAAATACAAAACACTATTTATAACTATTTTAAAGCCATAAAAATCAAGGTCCACTGGGTTAAAGTGCTACATATTTTGCCATTTTTTTTTCCTGAGCCACCATCTTAGATTTTAAATCATTAAAATTTCTCAGGGCCAGAAGCATCCTACATTTTTGGTAGCTTTTAGGTGTGTGTGTTTGTGTGTGTGTGCATGTGTGTCTGTGTGCACAAGTGTGTGTGTGTTTGTATATTTTGGACCCAGAGCTAATATTCCAACCAGAAATGTCCTTTGAGAAAAGTTTATATCAAAATGTTTAAATAAAAATGTTTAAGGTCACCAATGATGTAGATTAAAATTTTGAAAAACAAGAGATTCTGTAGTACGTTGTGACCTAAATTAGGGAAGCAAGAGGATATCTTTGTGATAGTGGGGGTGCACAGTTATTGCAAAGCCTTTTTTTTTCCTGAGGAAGACTCCCCTGAGCTAACATCTGTTCCCAATCTTCCTCTTTCTGCTTGAGGAAGATTAGCCCTGAGCTAACCAGTCTTCCTCTATCTTGTATGTTAGTCGCCACCACAGCATGGCTGATGTGTGGCGTAGGTCCACGCCCGGGATCCAGGAACCCACAAGCCTGGGCTGCCGAAGCAGAGTGCGCTGAACTTAACCACTATTTTTTTTACCCTTAACTTTATTGTAGGAATTATGACTAGAAGAGTGTGACTGATTTCTTTAATATTTTAGTATTTTAGTTTAAATATTTTAGTATTTAAATATTTATTTAGTATTTAAATATTTAGTTTAAATATTTAGTATTTAAAATACTAATATTTTAGTATTTTAGTTTAAAGAAATAAAGCCACATAATGGTTACTTCTTTCAAGGCTTTCTCTGTAATGAAACATCAAAACATTTTTTTTTGTTTAATAAACCTTTATTGGAAAGGCTACAAACTTTGTATTGCCACTGCATTTTTTACACTTAAAGTGGTTGTGGGAGACAAAACATTTTCAAGCTTCTTTTTTAAATGGCTTAAAGCCCACAGCTCTTGATGAGAGTAAATCTTCATCCTTGTAAATGCAAACTTGATTTTTGAAAACAGTTAAAAATCATTCAGATCTAAATTTTGTGAATCATTTGAGTAATTACATTGTTAAATACCATTTTGAATGAAAAAATATGAAGTGCTGAATATTCATAGCAGCATAAATCATAATAGCCGTAATATCCATCAGCCGATGCAAGGATAAATAAAATGTGGCATGTGTGTAATATTGTTTAGCTATAACAAAGAGTGAAGTACTGACACATGCCGCAACACAGCTGATCCTTGAAAACATCATGCTTAGTGAAAGAAGCCAGTTGCGAAAGGCCACACATTCTGTGATTCCGTTTGTATGACATGTCCAGAGTTGGCGGATCTATGGAGACGGAAAGTGGACTGCTGGTTGCCTAGGGCTGGGGTAGGTTGGACTTGGGGGCAATGAGGGGAGTGACTGCTACTGGGTGTGAGATTTCTTACTGGGACGACAAAAATGTTCTAAACTTAGGAAATGGTGATGGTTGCACAACTCTGTGAATATACTGAAACCATTATACTACATTTTTTTTTTTTTTTTTTTGTGAGGAAGACCAGCCGTGAGCTAACATCTATTGCCAATCCTCCTCCTTTTTTTTTGCCTTTTTTCTCCCGAAAGCTCCAGTAGGTAGTTGTATGTTATAGTTGCACATCCTTCTAGTTGCTGTACGTGGGACGCTGCCTCAGCATGGCTGGACAAGTGGTGCGTGGGTGTGTGCCCGGGATCCGAACCCGGGTCGCCAGAAGCAGAACACGTGCACTTAACCGCTAAGCCACAGGGCCGGCCCTTATACTACATTTTACATGGCCAAATTTTATGGTATGTGAATTTTATGCCATATCAAAAACATGTTTTAAAAAACAAAAAATATGCAGTGTCTGGGCCTGATTTTCTCATGATACTAAAGGCAGTTCCCAAAAATTCAGCTCTGAAAATAGTTTTATAAGTTCTAAAAACAGGATAAGTAGACAGTAAACAGAATAAGTAAAGCTGAATACTTTGAGGCAAAATGTTCATGTACATGCATATATGTTCTGGCATATTAAATATAACTTTATACTCAAAACTGGAAGTGTTCCAAGAACAGGGCTCAAAAACGTTCTGATTTCGGGGCCCCGTGGCTTGGCGGTTAAGTGCACGCGCTCCGCTACTGGCAGCCAGAGTTCGGATCCCAGGCGCGCACCAACGCACCGCTTCTCCGGCCATGCTGAGGCCGCTTCCCACATACAGCAACTAGAAGGATGTGCAACTATGACATACAACTATCTACTGGGGCTTTGGGGAAAAAAAGGGAGGAGGATTGGCAATAGATGTTAGCTCAGAGCCGGTCTTCCTCAGCAAAAAGAGGAGGATTAGCACAGATGTTAGCTCAGGGCTGATCTTCCTCATAAAAAAAAAAAAAAGTTCTGATTTCTCCAAAGGTGAAAGGTCTGTTGCTTGGAATATTTCTGCTTCTGAACAATCTCCCATTTGGCTATAGAAGTGTTTCTGAAAGTTATCCTTCTCTGCTGATGAATAGAACTGGCTTCGTTTACAGAGGACTTAGTTAACATTTCTGAACATCTAAATATAGAAGCGGTTTTATTTTCTTGATTTATATAACTGTTTTCTTAATTTTTATTTTTAACAAAGATATATCATTCTTTTAAGATCCGTATTAACTGCAACCCTCCAAAAGCCTGCATTATTAAGCACTGAGAACATCCAGTAACGTTAATGTCAATCTCTTTGCTGTGGAATGGAATGTAATTGCAGACTGTCCATCTTAACGTGCTGCCTACAGGTGTTTCGATCCTGAATTTCCAGTCCTGTCCCAGGCCTGGCCCCAGCATTATAGCAAGTACACAGCTCCAAATTTCCCAATAGTGCATCCCTTCAAAAATGTAAGCAATAAGAGGATTCCTACAAAAGAGATTTTATTGTAGCAAAATTGCAGCATTAAATGTGTTTGACTAGCAATAAACTTGAGAAGCCAAAATGCCATAAACTGAAAACCTCCATTATCAATTGGAAGAATAGTTTGTGTGTTTGTTTTGTCCTCTAAATCCCGTTTGATGACTATTTATAGAGATGTATAAATATAAACATAGACTTTGTACATAATGACCAATCAAAAGAAATGGATGCTGCATCAAGTGTGCACACCCTGTAAAATACAACTCTACTCTAAGTATAAGTGTGATGTGTTCATAACTAAGTTAGCTGAGCTACCCACTCATGACATGTTTACCTTAACAATACTTTCGTGGCCTTCTTGGAATTTAAGGAGACCTCTTGGGGATGACTAGCATGACCCTGCCTCTTTTGAAAGAAGCCTGGACTGATACTTCTCAGTGCAAGCCCTTCAACTAGAAGCAATTAGAAGCATTCATCATCTTTCTAGTCATCATTTCTTTTAAAAATAACTAGTATGGATCAAAATGTTTAAAGGCATCATTATAGACTTGAGTTGTGAAGATTTGGGGATTTAAGAGGGTCTTGATTTCTGATTCTATTTTTATCTGTTTGAGGCTACATATCATCTCTTCCTCAACCCTTCTCTGCAAGCTCCCCACCATATTAAGCCTGGAGAGGAGAAAGATGTCAGCAGTGGGCAGTAGGAAAGGAGGCTCCTACCCTCTGACCTTCATAGTGGTGGGATGCTTATAGGCTTCCTGGGGGTCTCCACCCAGCACCACTAGCCATCTTGCTGCGGAAACTACAGAGGGGTTAGCAAGAACTTTGAGAACCAAAGGGCTTGTGTATGCAGTTCTCAGGAGCCATGAATCGCACATTATCACAACATGGGGCTGCAATGAATATATAGGAATGCTAGAAATCAATAAAAACTTAATAAACATATCCGTAAGTCAACACGTCATCCACATTGTTGATTTTCACAAACTTCTTTTCTGTCATTTATTTTAAGAGGCACGGACACTAAGGAGAAGCAGGTTGACATAAAAATGACAACTTCCGCCTCCCTGTGGATTCATCACAGTGGCTTTGTCAATCTGGATTATCAGAATCGTTAGCATTTGTAAACGCCACCTTCAACACATCACTTCCCCTGTCTCTATTTACCCACTTTTGACTCATTCATACAATTGAACTCAGAACATCTGCTTTCTACCTTCTATGTATGCAGCCAGTGTTTGTTACCTAGAGAGCTGGAAGCCTTTTGAGATAATTGGAGTAAAGATATTTTATGATAAGCGTATGGTTCAGTGGAGGAGAAGCATGGTTTGGGTAATTCACATGCAGTCGAAAGGTGGTTTTGCTCCTTGCGTTCTCTTATCTTTGTCGCTTAAGATTTTGGACACTGTCGAAGTAATGGAATAGACTCAACACTAAAAAACAAAACACCAAAACAAAACTAATAGAAACGCTGGCCTTTGCTTTAGAGGATGGATGTCATGTTGGTCGTCCCTTCCTCCCAGATCGCGTTCCCAGATTCTGACACCCCCTGCCATAACTCTGCATCCCGGTGAAACTTGGAAAGCTGTGATCCAGAAGGTTCGCGCAGTGGTAAAGCAATTACTACCCTAACACAGCCGCGGAATCCATTGCACACTATTCGAATTTAATCAAGTAATTGCAGGCTAAATCTCAGTCTAGAAACTCGGTATTTTGCATGCCTTCTATGAGGATGATTTCATCCAACTTCATTTTGTGTTTTGATATTGCCTGAGTGCTCACTGTTTTTCCTCCGTTCCTTTAGAGGGCTAATTCATCCAGTGTAGGGCCTTCTTACTCTCTCCAGTTTCCCATCTCACTTTTACTGACAACTTGCTGTATAACACTCAGTTTTATATCTTCATTGGAACTAGGAAATGAATTTAATCTCACACTTTCCAAAAATCTACTGCGGTCATGAAGATCAGGGCCAAAGTGGTTGGGGTTTTGTGTGCCTGAGAGTAGCCAGCATTATTCTTCAACTGCTAATGACTCCTGCAGATCAAGTAGCTCCTGTCCAGCCTTTGAATTTTCCCAGAAAAGTTCCCAGCCTGCCTGTCAGGGATAATCAGGGATGTCTCCTAGTGCCTGTTATGCAGTCTGTCCAGAGCGCTTGAATTCCTGCAGCCGCTCCAGAGGCAGAGAGAAACCCAGCAAAGGAAACAGCCGCAGCACAGCAGCATGTGGATTGCAGCCCCTGATGCTGGGCCATCTTGTTGTGTTTTACCAGCTGTACATTTTTTTTTTTTAAATAATTTTATTTATTTATTTTTCCCCCAAAGCCCCAGTAGATAGTTGTATGTCATAGTTGCACATCCTTCTAGTTGCTGTATGTGGGACACGGCCTCAGCATGGCCAGAGAAGCGGTGCGTCAGTGCGCGTCCGACAGTGCGCGCCCTGGATCCGAACCTGGGCCGCCAGCATCGGAGTGCCCGCACTTAACCGCTAAGCCACGGGGCCGGCCCACCAGCTGTACATTTTTAAGTTTGAGTCTGAATGGGGTTCGAGTTCTAGCGTGTCCTTTGTTCCAGATGGTTAAAGAACCGTTGAGTACCAATGAGTCAAGTATAGGTTTCAGAGTAGAGGAGGACACTGGAGATTGTCTGCTCTGACTCCTCATTTTGGAAATGAGGCAATGAAACCCCAAGACAGTGAGTTAGGGATAGAGCTCGGGCCAGAAATGCAGGCGCCCCAGCCTCCTGCTGTGTATTTTGTTTCTATTATTGCCTCTCTCAGCCTGAGACCAGGTTCACTAAGTATGGTGACATTTGTGAAATAAAAGAAAAAAAATGGGGAAAGAAAGAAATCACTTAAAGTAGAAATGCTATTTTGGTTAAACTGTCAGCAGTCATTTTTCTGTAGAACCTCTGAAAGCACTTCTTTTCCTATAACAGCAAATGTGAATAAAGGGGTCGCATGCACGAGGGAGCTCTTTGTGGTGATGGACAAGTTCTGTGTTTTGATTGTGGTGATGTGTGATAAAATGGCATAGGATTATATGTGCACGTTGTACCAATGTCAATTTCCTGGTTTTGATATTGTACTATAGTTATATAAGATGTAACCATTGGGTAAAACTGGATGAAATGTACCCAGGACCTCTCTACTATTTTTGCAACTTCCTGTGAATCTATAATTATTTCAAAATAAAGTGTTTTTTTTTTTAAAAAAAAAGCAAATTCAAGATTCATTGTGGTTTTGTCTAAATAAAAGACTAGGTTTAAGATCTCTGTATAGGTAATAAAATGAGTACCATAGCTACATCATGAAAAAATATAAAGAAAGCGACATTTTCTCCTTCCCCTTATGGTAGAAATGGCTTCAAAGAATTGAGTAGACTTAATTCGACCTAGCACCCTTGTTATCTCCTTTATATGGGCAACTAAAAAGCTTACATATTTATTCCATCAATACGAATCAATGTTTGTAAACTGAGTGGATGTATTGATATTGTGTTGATATCACATGCTATTATATGTAGTAAAATGTCTTTCTGAAATACAGTACTTTTAAGGTAGTTCTCTCGTTTAGAACAGAGTGGTGGTTGCCAGAGGCAGGAGGTGGGGGGGTGGGTGAAATGGGTGAAGGGAGTCAAAAGGCAGAAACTTCCAGTTATAAAATAAATAAGTCATGGGCATGTAATGTACAGCATGGAAACTATAGTTAATAAAACTGTATTGTATATTTGAAAGTTGCTGAGAGATTAGATCTTCAAAGTTCTCACCACAAGAAAAAAATATTTGTGACTATATGTGGTGCTTGATGTTAACTAGACTTATTATGATGATCATTTTGCAGTATATACAAATATTGACTCATGTTGTACACCTGAAACTAATATATGTCAATTATATCTCAAAAAACGGTAGTTCTCTCGTTTAAATTTTATTTTTTAATTTTAGTTATTGAATCAAAAACACTTCAAGGAAACAAAGGAGAACACAGCTTTAACAGCCCTGGAGTTTTTGTTGTAGAAAACACAACAGTTGAATTTCAGAGGGGCTCAGAGCGGCAAACCTTCAAGATTCCAGGACCTCTGATGGCTGATTTCATCTTCAAGGTAGGATGATCCTCTTCACAATCATCATGCATCCGAAGCCCAGAATTTCTTGAATTTTAAAAACAATAAGTTTGTTCAGCAGGATGTCACCAATGATTGTTTTTACACACAGCATGCATCATTAGTATTTTCATCTTGGAGTTGACTCCTAAGAATTGTTCTTCTCTCTCAAGTTTCTGCTCCTAAACTCCAATAGTTAAGAAACAAACTTCATGTCTATGGGGGAAATATTGTTTTTGTATTTATAACCTCTAGTTACTGTGTTCAATGTTAAAGCTCTAGATAGAGTTTGGTGAGAATGATCAGTGGTTAAATGCTCCATGTCCTGAACCAGCACCGTGCTGTCATACGTGTTCTCTTTGGGGAGGAGAGCAGAGAACACAGAGGCTTATTCCTTACCCTCCTTTTTTGTTTCCCCAGATAATGTCTCATAATGGACACTTGTCTGGGCACCTGTCACAAGGTACCCTTGGTACCCTCAGAAGAATTCTTCTTCCTTGTAACCATGAGCCTGTGTCCCCTCTCTGGGTAAATCTGGGGCATCTTCCCTAACTCAGAGAATGTGAAATGTAATGGCCAATATATTTCCAAGGTGACACAATGTGAAATTCTGATAAAATTGAAAATCCTAAGAAATGAGAAGAAAAAGGTATTTCAACAGGTAGATTTGTCCTATCCCTTTTCAGAAACTTATTCCAAAATAGAAATGGAAGAAAGAAAATAGTCCTAATTGCCAAGTATATCTTTACCTATGAAAAGACCCAGTACCTTCAAAAGAACTCTCTGTGTACCATATATTAATTTGTCAAAGAATGTTTCATTGAGATGTGGGTTGTGCCAGCAGAGAAATATGTATGGAGTTAGATGAGTGTTGCAAACTGATACCATGTGGTCCCAATTCAGCCTGCAGTATGACCAGCCAAGAGTTAGCCTGCATCATGTTGTTGTTGTTTTGAAACTTTGGATTTTAAATGGTCAACATTTAAAAATCAAAAGATTTTTTGATAAAAATACCAGGTTATTTCTGCTTCTCTTTAAAAATGAGAAGATCTGACAACTAGGTTGCACTTTGCCATAGCAATAATTGGCTGCAGGTGTGTAACAGCTACCCTGTCATCAGGGTACTCTCTCTAGTTTGCCATGGTCCACACCACTCCCTATTGTGTCCCAAATATTAAAGGCATGGTAAGTGTTTGTTGCCATTAGTAGACATTTAAGTTGCCATTCATAGACATCACTTGCTATGCATAGATGTTTAAGTGACTTCTTTCAGACCCTTAAAGCATCGACCCAATGTTTTTTGACAGCAGCATTGTGAAGGCTTTTGGGAAGCCATGATTGTCATCTGTCTTTCCTTCTATTCTCTTTTTCTGGGCTCTTGTTATGCATAAATTCTGTGCTTGTCTCACTCCCCTTAGGATTTTCCCATTTGATTCTCAAGTAGTAAGAATTTACACACACACACACACACACACACACACACACACACTAAACTGTTTTTTTAAATTCTCTTTTCATTCCTACTCAGAGAATCTGTATTTTTCTCGAGTCTATTTGGAGACCTCGGACGTAGTAGGAGACATTAGTACAATGATGGGATGGGAGAAATAGCCAAAGTTAACATTTCAAGATATTGTTGGTTGCAGTATATCTACTGTTTATTGATACCATGCTCAAAAACACATATACACATAAACTATATATTTCTACAAGTGTGTGTGTATACACACACATACATATAAATATGTATATGTGTATGTACATTTTTTGTTTTTTAAAATTTGGAAGGATACACTCCAAACTGAAAACACAGTGGTTACTTTAGAGGGGGTATGTGTTTTGGGGAAGTGATCTTAGTTTTACTTATAATATTCTAGTACTTAAAGTAATTCTTAAAAAGAAGAATACAGTTATGTATCACTTGTGTAATTAAAAATTATTTTACACCTTCTTGCCCAAATTATGTATTCACCTCTTCATAGAATACATTTTAGCAGCATGATGACACTGTCTGAATTAGTACTCAGTCTTCTATTTTCTTGTCTCTGAGTTCTGGTTTTCTCAGATTTAATAGACAATTCTGGGCTTTGACTTCAACTTCTGGAAAGCTTTGATCTCTCTTGACTGAAAAGGTTTTTTAAAATATATATTCATCAAAGAGAATGTTACACACGACTGTCTGACTCATGCATAAATAGATCCTTGTCTTAACGCCTACAGCCATTTTCTTTCCTGGATGTGGTGTGCTTAGGGGGTGAGAATTTGGCAAATTGGAGACACTGTGGTGAAGCAAGAATGACTCTGATGTTGTTTTTCCCTGACTTACAAGCTTGTCCAAATAATGTGGGTTTCTAGGAAATATTCTTTTCCATTGGTTCATTTTTTTTTTTTTTTTTTGCTTGGGACACTAGTATTGCCCACTCTGCATCGCTGGTAAGATAAGGAAGTCTTTTCTTCCATTCATCTCATCCCAAGCCATCAGGCAATCAAATAATGGCTGTACTTTGAGTGGGAGGTTAAAAGGCTGTATGACGTCTTTGATGGTGGTCAGCTGTGTGTTTCACTGTATCTCTTTCATCCCAATCTACCAAAAGCAGCTGGTCTAACAGGGGAAGAGCTGCTTCAACCTGAGAGAGAATGAGGGAGTGAAGACCAGCTCTGCCCCCTCAGTGCTAATTTCCCACAGTTGTGGGTGAGCCGAGATAAAGAGAGGCACACTCCTTCATATAGTTCATAGAACAGACCTTATTCCATGGACTTTAAATAAGTGGCCTGTTGAAAACTACTGTACCCTGCACCAGTGAGACAAAAACTGCTTTTATCTACTCTTAAAGAAGCTATATTTTCATGATTGGACCATTCTTGAAAATGGCACTTTTTCTTCTTCCCAATGGATTCCTCACTATATAGTCTTGTTTTCCTGAATGATCTGTTTCTCATGGATGACCCTTGTCGCAGCACTACTGAGTCACGTGTACTTGGCATTAGAGCCCCTAAGTATTCTTATTTTGCTTCTTCAATGTGTGCATGTTGCCACCAGGGAGCAGTAGAGAGTCGATCCAGTGGATGCTGTGTGCCTTGTTGATTGGACGGCAAGACAGGCACTATCCTTTCAGTGAAGATTTACTGAACATTTGCATCTGTGCGTAGATATTTGTGACTATCAATTTTAAGTCTATGCCTATGAGAATAATCTAATAAAGTAAAATTAAATGGTTTTGATAAAGACATCTCTTTCCATGATTAACTATTTTTAATGATTGCTGGTGGCTTTTCCCCTCTTTTAAAACATACATCCGTCTTCAGGGGGAAAAAGAGTTCCTCTTCATCATGGTTTGAAAGCTTCCTTTTTATGCCAGTTGTCTATCATCTTGCTTTCATTCAGACATTTTGTGTTACTCTAGGAAAATGTCTTCTGATTGCTTTTCCTAGTTTTCAGCTGTGTGAGCCTCTGTCTTCAGTTTCCTCCAAGCTCAGCTCTAGATATAGTCAATGTTCTCCACCTACAGAGTCTCTCTTCATTCTGGGGAGATATTGTGGTACATCTAACTTGTTCAGAGATGAGAGGATCTGAAACTGCTTGTTTTCCTTTCTCTCAAAGAACAGGTTATAGCCTTGCAATGTGATGCAGGCAGTGGCTAAATTTATAGATTCACAGGTGTTTCAAACACAGCAAGACAGTTTTTAGAGTCAGTGCTTGTGTTAGTTTCCTGGGGCTCCTGTAACAAAGTACCACAAACTGGGTGACTTAAACAACAAGCATTTGTTTAAGTTTAAGTATAGAGCATTTATTGTCTCACAGTTCTGGAGACTAAAAGTCCAAAATCAAGGTGTGGGCAGGGTTGGTTCCTTCTGAATGCTGTGAGGAAGAATCTGTTTCATGCCCCTCTCCTCGCTTCTTGTGTCCTCAAGCAGTCTTCTTTTGTCTTCACACTGTCTTCCGTCTGTGCATGCCTGCCTCTGTGTCCACGTTCCCCTTTTTACAAGGACATAGTCGTATTCGATTAGGCCCACCCTAGTGACCTCATCTTAATTTGACTAGATCTGCAAAGACCCTATTTCCAAATAAGATCGCATTCTGAGGTACTGTGGGTTAGGACTTGAACATATTTTGGGGGAGGAACACAATCTAACCCATAACAGTGCCAACAGAAAAGAAAATTTACCTATTTCGTCCTGCCTCACAGTCAGAATCCCATCTCATCCTCAGTGTTTGCCACTCACCACAAAGGTAGAAGCTTTTCAAATATCACACGATATTTTAGTGTGTTATGGTCTGTTGAGGGGAATTTCTTGGTTAAAGCAATTCAAATACTGCTCTAGTCATTACTAGAAATCACAGCTAAATTATATGTGTTAATGTATACACATGTATAACAAAAGCAGAGTTTTATATAAAACTCTATTACATAAATTTTAGAAATTGTTTTGAAGTGGCCAAGTAAGGTAGTTGAATTTGAATTCTTTTTCTTTTCGTTGTTGTAAAGTCATTTTCCTCATCCAACAGAGTGATATACTTTTGTAAACATTAACGTATGTTTTCCTTTGGCCGTTATGTGTCCGTGACCACCTCCCCTGCCTCCCTGGGGAGTTGAAGGTAGTGGTTGGTGACTGTGCTGTTGTTAGCACGAACACAGAGAGCGAGCATTAACAGTCAACTTTTCATTATCTAGGTAAGTTTAAAAAATTTTTTTTTTTAGTTTAGACTTTGTCTTGAAAGTCAGGCTTATGGAGAGAGAGAAGACTTTTTATAAATTGATTTAGTTCCCATAACATTTCAAGGGACAAGCTTGGGGGACTAAATCAAAGCATTTCTTCTGCAGTATAGAGGGGATACCCCTTCTGCCAGTGAGGCTGAGCCGTGGGGTTAGTGTCCTCAGCATTCTACCCTCAGGAGGAGTTACACTGTAACGAAAGTCCAGAGAGGATGTGGAGAGTCTGCTCCCTCTGCCTTGGGGGATTGTGGGTAAAAGAAGGAAAGAGGAGACAAGGTGGAGGAA